TTCTAACCTTGTCTGGGCACCTTGTAGGCTGTCTATTCTAACTAAAATAAGACATTTTGGTTGAGATTTGGACTGCAGGTGGGTGGGGGAAATGGGTGCAACTTATAGATGTGAGTGGTATAAATTCACCATAAAGCAGAACTGAACAGGATAAATTCCAGTTAGATGAATAAATTATAAATAAATAATAAGTGAACAGGGTTGGTGATTTTTTTAATTCAAAAAATCAATGATTTTTGTGATTTTTCCATAATTTATTTTATTTTTTTTTCAGCTTTTTTTGTCTTTTTGAAATGTTACTTTTTCTGTTGCAATCAGCCTCCTAACAATAGCAGTATATGGATGGCTAAAAAGGGCAGTTGTTGCCTTCAAGAGTGGCAAAGGTGGTGTTTACCACTTGGGGACTTTAGGGCAAACAGTTATTGATAAGTCTATTCATTAGCTTTATAAAGTTTGTATGGAGCAAGGTAATGAGCTAAATATTGACCATTTAACTGGCTTGAATAAACAACACTTCAGGAATGCGGATCTTCTAAACATTGAAGAGTCACATAACAGATAGGTAGCTGATAGCACAGTCAACAGTGCCCAGCACTATCAATAGATCTACTAGTTTTATGTCCTATAAATCTGCCAGACTCTACCTTCTAAACACACTGACTAGTACCTAGTGACTGAGGGACTGACTGCACTGTTGCCATTTGATTCAGACCAATTAACCAATACTAAACAGAAACTGAATGACAACCAAACAAACCTCAAACGACTTGAAACGAGACTTATGTTATGAGAAAAGCTAACACTGTTTGAAATAAACATGTACACAATTCAATCATTTTATTTCCATTCACTGCATTTAATTATTTTATATATAGTTTTATAATTGTAATTGTTTTGTTTTTAGTTATAAATTCACATATTTAAAGACTGAAATTAAATATTTTAATTAGAATACCGGTACTCATATTTTATATAGAGTGGAAAATCTTTCTAAATGCCTAGAAGGTCAATACAATCTCAACCTACCCTTCTTATATAAGCTAGCTAACACATGTAAATTGTATAATGTGATTAATATATAACAAATACGTAGTCAAATAGTTAAAGACTACTTATAGGCTATAGCCTTATAAGAATTAGCTAAGCTGCTAGCTATGTACAATGTATTGCAACACTTGATGCCTCTGTACCAAAAACATGCAATTCATTGGAATGTAATGAATTGCACTTGAGACTGAAGGCAACAGGTTTATATTCCAATTTGTCATAGTACAGTACATTTTTACTAAACCATGAATAATAATGCCTCAAAATAAATTGAAGACTGCCACTCAATATATTTAAATATATAAAAAAACTAAAAAATCATGGTTTTTATAGAAAATCAAGTGATTTAATCACATGATTTAATCAGTTTGATTTAATCATTGCCAACCCTGTAAGTGAATGATAAATAAATTATATATGAATGATGAATGAATGGTAGATAAATGATCCAGGTGGGTTTATTGATGCATTCATTAGATAAATGATAGACAAACATTAGGTAGAATTTTGGCAAATGATAAATAATTATAATAATGAATAATGAAAATAATAAATTAATAATACTTGCACTAGTAGGACTGCATCCAGAATGCCATTGCAGCTGCCATTCACACAGGCATTGGACTCGTCTTTTTGCGACTTCCACCATCACCGTGCAACTATTGGCAGAGCTCTTAAATTTAAAGAGCATGCTGATGCTCTAATAACTGTTAGCTTGATATCCCACTATCTTACATTAACAGCACAACACAATATTAAAGTTTATTTTAGCACAAAGTTGGTTGTAGTCTTACACTGTCCCTACGCTGAATAGCGCTTGACAAGTTTCACTAGTAAGTATGTCAGGAGATACGTGCAAGTAAACAATTTCATGTAATGATTTTTTTTTGTAATGGGGAAATTGTCCTGGTTAGTCAATTATATGCAATAAACTCCTATGCTTTGGAATATGAACCAAAATGATAAGGCACTCTCACATCACTGAATTACTATTGATTACTATTGCATGACAATGTGATCTACAGTACTGCCATTGCCATCTGTACTCAGTACCAGTATAGGCATTGGACTCAAAAAATGTTTTTTTGTGACTTCTACCATTTCTGTGCAACTAGCTGCAAAGCACTGAAATTTAGAGAACATGCTCTAAGAACTGTAATCTTGATTTCCTATTATTGTTCATTAATGGCCCAATACAATGTCAAAGTATATTTTTAGCACAAAGTGGTTCTTATTTGGCAATCTCAGCCAAGTAAGTAGATGGTAGAAATTTTTTGAAAAACAAGATGGTGTCATCTCAATCAAATTGTTTTTGTTAGTGTCCAAAAACGTGTCAATCAATTTGAGCTACCAGTTGGGCATGACTTTGAAACTAAATGCCTCCTGCTTGCTGAAGCAAAAACTGTCTTGTCTGCCATTTTGGTAGCTTTGTTGTGACTCATGCATGGTTTGTGCACATACCTAGAAACAGTACCACCCTTTTTCGCTTAGTAGGTATTGCTTTGAACCTAGGAAGATTGAGTGTACAGTAACCAATTCACTGTAGACCTTTGCAAAGTTTGAATGCAAAAGCAGAATGGCTGGGCCCAGCTAGCTACTATTAGCAGGTAATTAATAATTGATTAGGTAATAATATAAACAATTGTTTGAAAATATAAATAATTAATTTATTATTCATTGATGAGATTAAATTTCCTTTCTTACAATAAATGTTGATTACTGCTTCCTCAACTTCCTTTTGGTTTCAACATATTTGATTTATGACTGCAATAAATAGCACCATCACTGCCTAGATCCATGCTAGATATTCAAATTTCTCACCCATGCAATGTACAGTAGACTTTCTACTGTGGCTCGTACATGGTAGTGAGACTGCTACATCTCGGTGATAAATCTTTATGAATTCTGGCAACTTTTTTTTAGCCTGCAAGAGCAATCTTCTTTAAGCGTATGACACTTTGTCCTCAGTGGCTTATAGGACTCGAAAATGAACTTGAGGAAGAGTCTTAAGGGGACTGGCTACCCTAAAATTTCCAATTTTGGCGTTTTCCAGCTTTTGTGCTTATCTTAAAGCTTACTTTCTGACGCATTGAACGGTACCAGAATCATCTCTCTATGTCAAAAAATGATTTCGTGACAGCTCCCTAAAGGGGGGCGGTTTCGAGGCCCCTTCAGTAAAGTCTATGGGATTAATTAGAAGGCTGGACACACTAAAAAGGAATGTCTGATGTAAAGCGGCCAATTATGGCATTATCTGGTGCTTATACTCATCTTAAAGCTTACTTTCTGACTCGTCAAACGGTACCAGAACCATCTCTCTACCTGCATTTTGAGGAACAGGACGCATTGCAGAATGGGGGCAGTGGGGGGCAGCCTTCACTATTTGAATGGGAGATAATTTGAGAGTAGCACTACAACTATCGCGTATAGCGGCCAACACACTCAGTGCCCATCAAGACAGCGATGTGGGATGTATGCTGCCAGTTGCTCTATGCCTTGCTGACTTGGTTTGAGGCTTAATTACGGTATCTAGGCTATGTTACGACTTTTACGTCCATTTACGTCCCATGCGGCAGTTTTTTTAGCGTATTGTAAACCTCCTACTACTCTCACGGAAAATCTATCTCCTCCTAGAGTTTTAAAGCTACAGCAATGAGACATATACCGTACCATTTGATTTGTAAAGACCATACCTATCAATTTGAACATCACTTTTTTGAATTTCTGTCTGGTTCATTTTTTTATATGGGGGAGAAGGGAAAAAGGAGGAAAAAAAGTGAAAAAATGGAAAAACTCACATATAAAAAACTATGGGGAAAATGAAAAAACCCATGTTTGAATCGATAGGTATGGTCTTTACAAATCAAATGATACGTGTCTCGATGTTGTAGGACGATATTTGTAGGAGGAGATAGATTTTCTAAGTACCCATTTTTGGCCATTTTCTATGAATTTCATGTTTTCTATCAATTTTTTCGAAAAATTCATGACAGCAAAATGTTATTTTTTTTATATATTCCGTAGGTATGTATGCAAAGTTTCATGATCGGATAATAACTGTAGAAGTTTTTGTGGAGGGTAGCCGGTCCCCCTAAAAGTTTCTGCTTTGCCACAATCACCCAAACAAAGGCTTAAGTTTGGAAAATTCTGACTCTGACAAAATTGGGAAAATCCTTCCCACTTTGGATTATTAGGAGAAATTTATAAATAACATGGTTACAAAAATTGCTTTATTAGATATTTTTTTAGGAATTTTGGCTAAGAAGTGGCTAAATTTCAATAATCTTTGTCTGTGATTTCCTAAAATTGTTCTCAATATTCCAGACTGGGTTGCAACTGGATTTTTATTCGTTGGTTAGCCTATTTTTTTTTTTTGTCATAAAATTGAATTCTGAATTTCTGAGCCATGCCAAACTAGGACACTGGGTAGAATTATCCAAACATAATGGGTGAAAATGATTGTTCCATGAGTAATCTTTGAAAATTGCTAGCAAAAAATGCAATTCTTAATTTTCATCAAAATATTAGGCAAGGAACATTTGAATGGGTGAAAAGTTTATTGAGCACAGGCATTCCACTTACCAGAGTTTCCCTCCACTGGGGTGCAAAGAGTGGGCAAACATTTAAAGATCTTCAGCATCAAAATCTACCTATGTCATCAACATCAAAATCTGTGTCTTCTCAAGATCTTGCCAACACATTTCTTGTTGAAATGTGTTCTTCAGCACATTTCTTGTTAGAATTGGGTTCTTCAACATATTTCTTGTTGTTTCTTTTCTTATTTACATATATTTTTAGTTAAAAAATCTTGCTGGATCATGCAGTTCTGCCATCAAATCATCAATAATACTGGCAACACATTTTACCTAAAACCCCAGCCATAATCAATTTGTTGAAGAATGAACTCTTATCACAGAAGAATATGTTTTGGTAAGAAGAATTTGATTTTGCAGGGATCCCTTGACATGTTCATCTCTGAGGCTGGGGCGGACCATACGGCTGTCTTGCAAGTCCACTCTACCTCATCTGCATCTCACAACCACTCAGGCAGCAGCAACCAGCAGCTTTGTGTGAGCAGGAAGAGGAAGATCAACCAGACTGACTGCAGCCTTCCTGAACACTCCTTCTCTGGGCCCCATAGCAAGCATCCCAATTTGCAGGTCCGCAATTTGGGCTTACACAAATATCCTCTTGTGCTGTATGATAAATAGCATGAACTGCTGGGCTAGTTCAGTTTTTAACAGGCAATATATACTTACTGATATTTTTTTTTGACAATTAATATGATAGTGTCCTGTTGAGCTTTAGAGCCTCTATAGCCCATCAACACTTTGAACAAACCTAGCATATATTTGTGTATATATTACATTTTTTGGCATGAAATACATTTAGATAGCAATTCTGTTGCTATTTATTTTATTTTAATATATGATGAATTCCATCAGGGTTGTGGTAGTTTCAGCAGTCACCACCCTGATCAGCAGCAGCAGCAGCATGGGCTACAGCAAATCGTGTTTGCAGCATCGTCCACGTGTTCTCAAGTACAGGAGCAGCACACCAGCAGCTCGACAACATCTTGTCAAAAAACTTCCTCAGAAAGTTCTTGCTTTCCTGACCAGCAATTCAAGCAAAACAACTCGTCCTCTACAACGCGTCATCCCTCTCACCACCACCATCACCACCAACACAACTCACAAACTCTTCAACCTTATACCGGCAGTACGGCATCCTCAACTCACCACCATCACCACCATACGTTACCTACGTCCCATCATCACCACCATCACCACCAGTCACGTCCAGCTGCCGCAACTAAGCCTGTAGACTCGTACCACAAGTGTTCAAAGGTGCCTGCATTATTTTTATCTTCAAAAAATATATAAGTATTAGTTCTCATGAATTTATGAATGCATTTCAGTTGTTAGAAAGTTGAAGAAATCTTCCATAGATGTCTCTCTGGTTTTGTGCTTCAAGCGTAACTTACATCACTTGAAGTAGATAACCATGCATTGAATTTACTAGCGGGATGTAATTTAAGATGTTTTATACACATAACATCATGCAAATGTATAAGGGTAACTTGTTGAATCTAAAATCATGGAAATTGCTACAGTATTGTATTATATTGACTAACTATCATGCTAAAAATGTGCCCTCATGAATGATTTTGATGGCAGCGGAGTGGGGGCAAGTGGTGTGAGAACAACAGCAGCAGCAGCGGGCGCTGCGGCGATGTTGGCAGCCTCATCAGCAGTGGGACTGTAGTGGTGGGTGTTGGAGGTACGAACAACAACAGTACAACACAAGCAAGCACCCACAGAACGGTGGGGGGCAAGGGTGCCCCCGGCGGTGGCGGGGGAGGGGGAGCAGCCACCAAAGCGGGGGGAGGAGGGGCTAGTGATGGAGACTACCAGCTGGTGCAGCATGAGGTGCTCTACAGCGTCACCTCTCAGTACGAGGTGCTCGAGTTTCTGGGCCGCGGCACCTTCGGCCAGGTGGTCAAATGCTGGAAAAAAGGCACCAATGACATCGTCGCCATCAAGATCCTTAAGAATCATCCGTCTTACGCCCGTCAGGGACAAATTGAGGTAAGATTTCCTAGCTTATCTGTTACATCTCGCAAGTTGGTCTACGTCTCGTTTATAAGGAGGGAATTTATGAAGAAATTTTAAGCTATGGCAGCAAATTATTTGCTTTTGATTGCATGGAAATTATTAACTTGATTAAATGCTGATGCATAGTGAAAGTCTACATCCAGACACTGATGTACATGTTTTCAGATTTTGCTTTGTATTATAGACGTGGGCATTAATTATTGTTGATGAATAGATAGTTGTTATGTGATAAATAGAAGTTATACTACTACTACTTCTACTACCGGTACTATTCAACTATTGTGATAATCTACTTTGTCATTCAGTCATTCTAGACGTGTTAGTTGACAAACTTGGATGACACTTATAATGTAACTTTGTTTTATGAACAAATCAGTGGAAGAACAAATTTTAAGAAGATTTTAGTCATGGCTGCACTGTATAAGGTTGACCCACGAGGATTTCCGTCTTTCAGTTCAGCTTTATTGTTACGTCACTGAGATCGAGAAACGTAAACAATCCCGTCATTCCCATGACGGATTGGTCGACTGGTTTGATCGCATTTCGGTGAATGGTTAATGCCTGTGACGTCACTGAGATCAGTGACCTCACAGGTGAACAACAAACTACATCCGCAAAAATTATCTTCTCATGGGTCAACCTTGTACTAGTTCAAGCAAGATTTTAGTAGGTTAACATACGGCATAGGTGTGCGGACACATGAACACACTTTAAAATTCAATGGCACAAATAAATTGCCCGTGTTGTTTGAAATGCATGGTACTGAGCTTATAGGCAACTGTTCACTAAAAATTGCCATGTCAGATCATTTACTGCAATGAGAGTTATTCTATCACAAATTGTTTGCAATATATTATAGCAGGAGTTCACAATTTTTCACTCGGACAGGTGAGCATCCTGACTCGCCTCAGCCAGGAAAATGCAGACGAGTTCAACTTCGTGCGTGCGTTCGAATGCTTCAACCACAAGAGCCACACGTGTCTCGTGTTCGAGATGCTGGAACAAAATTTGTATGACTTCTTAAAGCAGAACAAGTTTTCTCCATTGCCTCTCAAGTTCATCAGACCTATTCTACAGCAAGTGCTTACTGCGTTGCATAAGCTCAAGGTTTGTCTGCACACTTGTTTATTATGACGTGAAATTGTGATGAAACTGTTTCTGTTCCAGTTACTCCCGATAACTTTGAGATCATCTTTATTTGAATCATATTAAAAGTTTAAAACATCTTTGAAAATTTACTGATATGGCTAAGTTTTTAATGATATGGAAAATCTGATCTTGTTTGCGACATTCACTTTACTTGAACATACACTTTTCCAAGTACATACATGTAAAAGACAAATGTTTACTGTCCAATGTTTCCCAGAACTTGGCCAACTTTTTAATTTCTCTTGCTCAAGCCTTGTGACATATTTTTGCAGCAATTGGGTTTGATCCATGCGGACCTGAAGCCTGAGAACATCATGTTAGTGGACCCGACACGTCAGCCGTACCGCGTGAAAGTGATAGACTTTGGGAGTGCGTCGCACGTGAGTAAGGCCGTGTGCAACACGTACCTGCAGTCCCGCTACTACCGCGCCCCTGAGATCATCTTGGGGCTGCCCTTCTCAGAGGCCATAGACATGTGGTCGCTGGGCTGTGTCATCGCTGAGCTCTTTCTTGGCTGGCCTCTATATCCAGGGTCGTCTGAGTACGATCAGGTGCGTTATTCATCCGGCCCATGAGGTTGGTTTGAAACTTTGAAATATAATCACACTTGGTTAGTGATTTGGTTTAACGAATGACGTATGGGTTTGATGCAACATAAACTTAAGCCTTTTATTCATAGTTATATTGTTTTTAGGTATCATGAATCTTTTTATTTAAATTTATCCTTTTGAGACTTGAAATTTATTTCATCGTCTTGATTTATTTAAAAAATCTTGTATTTTTTGGTTTTAATAACAGCACCAGCACTTTTTACTACAGATTTGCAACAATTGAGCATGCTACAGGGTCTGATTGCCGTTTCTTGTTTAAGTGAATACTATTCCATAATCCAAATTTCTGTTTTGTAGATTCGTTACATCAGCCAGACACAAGGGATACCCGCAGAAAACATGCTTAATGCTGCCACCAAGACCAGCAAATTCTTCTACCGGGACAACGAAGCCCCGCATCCTTTCTGGAGGCTCAAGGTGCGTTCTCATGAACTATTTAGCCTCACAGCTGTAGCCTTTCTTTTTCTAAATTTTATTCTCGGAGTTTATTAAAAGTTATTTTCATACATACCGCGAGTCTAACTTTTTTTAGTGTAATTTATGTTGCTTTGAATGTTTTGAAAAATCCAAAACCTTGCAAAATGAACAGTAAATTTATTCGAACAAAATAAAACTGTGCAGACCCCAGAAGAGCACGAGAACGAGACCACCATTCGCAGCAAGGAAGCCCGCAAGTATATTTTCAACCGCCTGGATGACATGGGCCAAGTGAACGTCCCTACCGATCTCGATGGTAATGAACTTGCGGCAGAAAAAAGTGACCGCCGTGAGTTTATCGACCTTTTGAAGCGCATGCTTACCATGGATCAGGACCGCCGCATTTGCCCGCTTGAGGCTCTGCAGCACGCGTTCGTGAGCTTGCATCACCTGCTGGAGTTCTCATTGTGCCCTAACGTGAAGGCTGCTATGCAAATGATGGAAGTGTGTCGGCGCCCTGCTCCATACACTCAGTCGGCGGCTGCGATGACGGCCGCTGCGGCTGCTGCTGCCGCCGCTGCTGCAGCAGCTGCCGTTGCCTCTCAGCCACAACAAATACCACCGTCCCTTCTTCCCGCAAGTCACGTGCACTCAAGTAACGGTTCTGTCACTCTTGCTTTCAATAACCAAATTACCAATCAGTATGGTATGTATCCTGGGGGTCGAAGCCGCTCATACGCCACTACAAGCAGCAGGAACGATGCTGCGGCCGCCGTCGCTGCCGCAGCTGCCTTCAACAATCAGCTGGTGCCCTCAGTTCTATGTCCTCCGCCTCCCTACCCTGGCCTGACGTCCCCTGCCAAACACGTGACCGTAGTGTCTCAACAGCCTCAACTCCTGCAGCAGTCTCTGTTACAGACTCAACAGGTGTTACAAACGCCACAGGTGGCAGGAGGTGGGGGTCCGTACGTGCCAGTGTCTATGGTGGAGGCTGGTAGAAGTGGCATCATGTTGACGGCTGCACCTGCCGCGGCCGCTGCAGCTGTGGCCAGTGGCTGGGCTAGACCTGGTCAGATGACGCTGGTGCCAGGTTGGCAACAGCTGCATCCTCAGCCGCAGCCTTCGCATAACCCGTACACAAGCCTCTCTACCCTGCAGCAGAGCCAACACGTGGCAGTTGCTCAGCATCCCTCGTCACGTCTGATCACCACAGAAACTTCTGTCGACCCTTGGCGTCGCTCGCTGCTTGTTGATTCGGGTTTGGACCCTCCAGTTTTCCCTGTGGACTTACAGACCGCTACTGACTTTTATGCCACGGATTATCCTGCCGCCGCTGCGGCCGCTGCCGCATCTTGGAACTCAAGTAAACGCCCAGGTAAACTGAGCGGTGCCGTGGCCACCTCTTCAGGCTATGTTGGACACTCGAGCAACGCGAGGAGTGGTGCTACCCGCAGTTCCTCAGGGACTCACACTCTCATGGCTGGTCTGCAAATGCATCAAGACCTCAAAGACTTGAGCCAGCAACTCTCCCCTGTGAAGAAGCGCGTCAAGGAAGGCACTCCACCGTATGGCTCATCATGGCCAGCTCAGCTGCCTCAACAGTATCAACAGCAACAAGCATCGTCTCATGTTCATTATGGAAATGTTCAGCAGCATCCTGCCCCTGCTGCGGCTCCGGCATCCTATCATCACAGTAACAAATCTGACGCAAACGGCAATCAACGCTCCAGCAAACAGCAGACCATTACCATTAGGGATACCCCTTCTCCTGCCGTGTCTGTTATAACCATCAGCGATAGTGAGGATGAAACTCCAACCACTGGCAAAAAGGCTTCAGCAAACTCAGCGGCTAATGCTGCCGCCATTGCTGCATCCTGCAAAGACCAGCACTGCGCAACGTGTCGTAATAACAATAATAATTTGAATCAGACCAAAAACGGCCACACCGAAGCTTCAGTAGACGATAAATATTTTGACTCAAACAATGGAAGGAGCAACAAGAACAACTCTCAGTACTCCTCGCTGGCGGCCTCCCAGAGCCAGAAGAAGCGGCTGCTTGCCAAAGTTCAGAGTGAAAGCATGACTGCGAAGCCTGAGAACATGGCGCCGTACTCGCAGCACAATGCCAACGCTCAGCACAACAACCAACACTATGACAATACCAACAACAACAGTGTTGAGGTGGCTGCCAGCAATAACCGGTGAGTCATTGCACGGCAATTACCGCCTTAGCTGTATATGACCTTCCATCAATTGATACGTTATTGCCCCATTTGAATGATTCCAGAAATTTCTAATAATTAGGACCTTCCACCTTACTGGTGATGTTTATTTTCGACCTCCGGTGTAAAGCATCTTGATATATGAGGCCATTACGCGTTCTGTTTTTGAAGATATTTTGTCTAGTCAATTTTGATATCCTCTAACAGACTATCAGAACTCGGTCTTCCTTGTCTCAGAAATTATCATTTCCATGTCAGTTTTTGGTGCGATAAATCTTTGATAGCCTTTGATTTAACTTACGTAGGGGAATGATGAGTGGCATTAATCATAACAATGCTCTAGCGCTCACTGTAGAGCCTCGTAGATATCAGTGAGCTTTGGTCTGAGTTTACACTCGCTGAAGGCTAACCCAATTATCTCATTAAATATATCTCCTTGCTCACTATGTCCATTTCTTGTTTTAAATTACGAGCCGATTTCATCACAAGTTGAACTCTACGAATACGGTTGCTAAGGCGAATAAATTTCCCTGGAAATTAAAATTGAATGGCTGGCTATTTTGCAGTGATGGGTCGTGCACGTCGCACGGATCTCGTCACCCCCACGACCCGCAGCATCAGCCCGCCACCTCCTCTCACCGCGACACCCTCCCTCCCCCCGCCGCACACTCGCGCCACCATCACCATCATCACCACCACAACTCAAGGGTCAACACTTCTCTGCCCATGCAGAAAGAATACGTTAATACAGGTTCGAAGTGAATTTGTTGTCTCTTGATTTTCTAACATGCTGATTGTTACTTTAATGTCCCTACCGTTAATCTCTTGAAAATTATGTATGTGACATTTAAAGTATTCTAAAAATACAGTTGGAATAACTTTATGTAGTCTTGGATGATGAGATAAAAATTAAGAGTGACGTCCTCTAGCTCAAATTCTATAGATATGTCGTATTGTTTTTAAATTGCATGCATGACAATTTAAAGTTCATGACACGTTTCACATTTTGACATATCTGTGTTCTCATCTCTTTGCTATCACCCGTTTATACACAATATAGAAGCTCCGCTTTAGAAAAAAATATTGATTGTCTTGTATGTTTTCCAGCGGTCATAGGTAAGGAGTACTGCGATCCACCAGCAGCTCACAGCTCACGCGAGGAAAGCGCCGCACTGAAGGCCTGGAGCTCAGGACAGCAACAACGAAATTTGGCGTACAGTCAACACCCCCAGGCGTCTCCTGCCTCACGTCCTGCCATATCTTCAACTCCAAACAACAACTCGGTCCTGCAGGACCAGCAACTGCAGCTGCATCTGCAACAACACGCGGCAGTGCTGCTGGGCCCAGCAAGCAGCAACAGTAACAGCATGAGCAACGCAAGTAACGTGCTCACGTCGGACGTGTATCGTGACTACAGAACTGCTCAGGCGGTGCCTCGCTCGTCGCATCAGCTTGTGTCGACGCACGCGTATGTTCCATCTTCACAGCCCACGTATTTGCCTGCTGCACAGCAGCCCTTCACGGGCGCGCCTCTTGTTCACTGCACCACAGCGGCTCAGGAGATCATTAGGTGCGATCATGTCGACAGAGATGATGTTCTCAAATATGATCATTTTATTACCGATGCCGATGTTGTGCTTCATAGTTCCTTTAGTTGTCGATATCCGAAGAAGAGGAATATCTCGCCACAAGTCTTTCTTTCTTTCTGCCTTTCCAAAGAAATAAATACAGAGCTTCTGCGAGCTTATAATTCCGTTCTTTTTCCAAATCGCGGACTTTTTGAAGAATTTGATGGTGTGTGTATTGTACGATTTTGTTAATAATTCTTGCCCTTATGTCTAGGGGTGGTGTGCCTCCCCCTGCTCATCACAGTAGCGGCAACCGATGCGTCTTGAGCGGTCCATCGACTCAGCCTCTCCCTGCTCATCTGCAGCCCACACCCGCCCACCTCCAGCCCACTCCTGCCCACTTACAGTCCACTTCAGTGTACGGCGGGCACGCTGGCAGTAGCAACGCTGTGCATATGGCTGCCTACACAGCTGCTACTGCTGCTGCCTACAGCGCTCTCTCGCCTCCCAAATCTCAATACCAGAACATTTGGTTTACTGACTGATTGTGCGACTACGTCCACGTGTTGCCCGGTGCTATTGTCGCCACCTCATTCAATTTAAACCCCACGGTTATTACATGATTCTGATGGAACACATAACTTCTTACTGCACCGATATCACCACATGCAGTCATCTTATCGACATCTTATGGGACGGCTATATAAGCCTTTACATGACCAGTTTGATGGTGTCGTGACCTGACCGCTTCTGGCTTTCTTATCGGTCTCCTCATTACCTTCCAACAAAATCCTGACCAGTAACTGGGGGTAGAGGCTCGTAACCTCAGATGGACGTCATGATCGCCGCCGCGTTTTTTTGAATAGTTGATGAGCAAGTATTTTCTTGGCAAGATGTTTCGTGGCAGTTGCATCTCTGCATCCCGATGTTCTTTGTGCTAAACATTTATTGCTTGTTCACGTTCACGCAGGCTTCTGTGTTTCTCGCTGCCGTCGTAAATTAAGTAAATGTTAAAACTCGAGTTGAAGTATGACTCTCGAAAACTCGAGTTTCCACGCTGGTCATAACCTTATGTGGTTGAATCTAATCCGTTGGGTAAATCCTACCTAAGCAAATACTTCGATGTAATTTTTGGTCAGGCTCATGATTTTTAAGCCTGGACTTTCTTGTGAATGATTCATTATCATGCTTGATATAGTGTTTGCTATGTTCTGAGTTCAGTAGACTAATGCTAAGGTCTACGGTGTAATTCAATCCTAATGTGTGTGTGTGTGTATATCGATACCTGACGTGCCCTGGTAATGAAGTTTTGTCTCGTATTACACTTAACTAAGACGGTCTCTTATCACCAGACAATGGCCAGAGTCACGTCACTCTTCGCTGCTACTCCGGCTGTTTCCTTTTATCCATCTTAATTTAACTTACTGCACTGAGGTTCATTCAGTAGCACTTCTCTCTTCCGCGCTTTCATTCATTGCATAAGGTTCTTTTGGCTCCATCACTGGATCGCTGAACGTACAGGTTCTGGCCACTTGCAGTGACTTCACAAGTCGGCAATTTTGCTCAATAATAATCGCCTGAAGTCTCTTTGTTCTTGCGTTGCAGTTTGGTTCTCACCCTACTGCTATTGTTCATGGTTATATTAATTTAACGCGTATATTATTTAACTCTTGGTGTGTCCCAGTTCTCTAAGTTTAATCGTGTTGCAGTACAGATCTAGATTTATTAACTAATTTCAAACTAGCTGAAATGAAGAGCTGTACGAACTTCCGTCAGTTTGTGAATAATTTTGTATTTCAAGGTTTTTGTTCATGTTCAAAACTTCCTTATTTACTATAACCTTAACTATACGACCGAGCCTTGCTTCAAGACTTATCGTGGCCCGGGCATTGTTTTTTTTTTCTATCCCTAGTGTATATCTATACCAAGAGCTCTAACTAACATTAGTTGTCGATAGCTGTCTAGTACACACTTCTTCCTCGAGATGTACTTCCAGATATTTTCTGCCGTTTTTATTCTTGACCGTCTCCTGAGATGAAGTACCTGTCGTAATAATGTTTCGTAGCTTTAGATAGTATTCACAAATTCTGGCGATATACTTTTCTCTTGCTGGAAAGCTTATATACTAATCTTAAACGCCCTTCATGTCGAAGAAAGCCAAGAAGATTCCTCACCTTTTATTTGGAGGAAAACTGTTGTTATTTTCTAACACTAGTGTAAAACTGGTCGAGTTTACTGAGCAGTTTTCAATAGTACATTTTTATTGAGTTTTCTGGTGAATGCTAGCATTGTGTAGTGGCTTCCTCAAGGGAGCCTGAGTGTGATCCAAGGTTTCCTGAAGACGCCGTCGTGTCAGCAATGACTGCTAGAACATTTGTGTCTAAAATGCCCAAAAGTGAATAGTGACTTTTGTGTTGATAGTATTCAGTGATATTGCTTTGACAATTTTTATTGTGAACAGAACCTTCTGATTCTAAGGGCGTCAAGAAGTGTTCCTAATAAGGAAGTATCGAACAAGAGAACTCAGTGTGAGCAGTGTTGGAAGTGCTTGCTGTACCCTACAGTGAACTGGATCTTCCCTTGTGAACCTGAAGATTTGGCCTGACGCATCGTTTACCAGGCTTTGTGATATTCTTTTCAGCGTTTCATTGAAACCCCGAGATGTGATAATTTTACTGCAATGACTAAGTGGAGTGCGCATTTCGTAGTGATCTGATGCTTCTTCTGAAATGAAGCATTCGAATTTTATAGCAGTGACGATGGTGAGGAAAGGACAGTTTCCGTCTCACCATAATAATTTTTTTAACTTATTTGCTTTTCCTCGAGTGAAATGTGCATGTTTTTTTGACTGTGACGACTTGAAGAAACGCCGGCTCAACATATTTCCCGACAACGAGCATCTGGGAAGTGCTCGCTGAGGTCGGGTGTCGGACAGCCTCTTTGTTATTTACCCCCCGAGTGTTTGGTTAGCTTTAAGTATTAACGGTGCCTCCACTAATTGTTTTGGGCATAGATAATCTTCGGTGTGCTGTCAGACGATGTAGTTTTCTGGTTATAATTTGGTGTCTTGATTTTTATTTTCTTGATTTGCTTGAAGTAGAAACGTAAGCTGCGTGGTAGCGAATACTCGATGCTGGCTTCTAGTTGTCCAGGCTCACCGGAGTTTCAAAGAGCTTTCTTAGTTTGTGTATAAACTAAACAAATAATTAGCTTGTGGACGAGGTTAGTCCTTAATATGCTTCTTAATGTCATCATTTGGGGCCAATCTTATTGGAGTAAGTCTGATGGAGCAGCGCGATTTAAGATGTGATCTGTTAAGAGATCAGAGTTGAGTGGAGACATGATAGTGCTGAATTGATTAAATTTTATTCGGAAATCAGACTCGGCTGCATTTCGAAATATTTCGGAGATAGGTCGGTGGTACAATGAAAGTTATTTGGTTACATTTCAGTTTTGTAAGCCATTTAGTATTATTTTCCCGAGGTTTTAGGTTGATAGTAAGTTATAAAGTGACACAAAACTTGCAATTTATATCTTGTATTGGTGCCACAGTTGAAATTTGCCGAGCTGATACGTCGGCATCATCGTATCTATTTTACCACTAACCCCATGTTGGCTGAGGTTTTCTTAGTTATATATTTACTCTTCCACTTCTCTGATTACAATTCTTTTTAATTCGTTTGTTATCGGTTTGAATTTAATGTTACGAATCTCTCATTCTACATTAGAACGTAAAGAATAAAACGCATGGCAAATGGCCACACTCATTCTGGTTATGAAACAGTTAAAGTAAATACCTACTACTTTACTTGCAATAAGTGGATCAGAATTAGTCTTAATTTTCTTAATTAGTCGTTGCCGTCGTAATGTGAGATATTCCAACATCATTTATTCCAACTCCAGAGGACTTATAAAGTAACCGAATTGAACCAATAATTCTAATTGATTAAACAGCCCATATTGTGTGGGGTCTCTGAATATGCACTTTCACTGAGCGCGAGCATGCGCTTAACTGACAAGTTGTAGGCTCGTTGGTGATTTATTCTGGCGGCACATTTGATATTTTAATAACAATAATTTCACGATGAATGTTTGTAAATGGTTTGGTATTGCACGGCCAACTTAGAATGGTAATTGCTGGCTTGTGTTTAGGGAGACGTGTTGTTGGTCTGGGTGACGGTTCTAACATTCAACATCGAGAACGTCTTTTGGGAACAGATAACGGACGTTTACGCTTAGCCTAATGTTTATACTGGAGTAATTATTCGGATAAACTCTGAGAATCATCGTTGTTTAAATGAAGGGGAGATTTATTTGGATCAATCAGAAAAAATGCTGATCATTTGATTGAAACAGTTCAGAGGTACATTTGTATTCGAAACCGGATTTTTTTTTCTCCAAAAACCACTTTAGACATTTTGACCATCAAATCTCTAGCAGCAATCCAAAATATCCACTAAATACTGATTGGTCCGAAGCGGGAAGCGAAACAAATACATAGTTCAACGACTGTCTAAGCCTTCCACTTTATCGAGTTATTCAAAAAAGCTGTGACTCTCAAGGTATCGAGAACTAGCAATATATCTGCAATCCACAATTCAAAATTCATACACAGGATGAATTCTGACAACACCGATTTCCTCGTATTGCTTTATCAACTACTTGGATGTGACATCGCATGTGACTTCTCATGTATGTTTCAACTCTAAGCCTATGAATTTTACAAATCTTCATTGCACTTAAGCCTTAATTTGCCAGGTGTGAAGATCTGGAGCAGCGTATAGTTGTTATATACTAGTGAGAGATAGCGTTGCTCCGGCCGGGATCAGCTAAGAGCATCATTTTTCTGAACCTGACTCGTGAATTTTAGCGTTAAATCCTCACGTACGGTGTTGCATGTATACCTCGCTGTTTTTTTTTTGTAATATTTTAGCGTGTAGATCATGTTCTTCACTATGCCTGTTGGATCGATGTAGCGTATTAGACTGGACGAAGCTGGTGACCGCATTTTTAGACCTGAAATAACAGCGTTGCCCGATTTTAAGTATGGGGTTTCGCGTCTCTGGCCTGTGGCTCTCAAATTGGAGAAAAATTAGTGCCCTGGAGGTAAGTTATTCTTTGATTGTTCATAGTTGACCTCTCCGGGCTAATGGAGAGGTTAATGTTTCTATGTTAAGCTCAGACTGTGTGAAAAGGATATTGTCTGGTAAACAACTGTTGTGAGATGCTAAACATTGCATTTTGTGAAATCGGGCAACCAGGTGGACGAGTAGAGAGTCTTTGAGCTTACCAGTCATGCGATACTAGTTGTGTGGCCGGTCCCTCATTTTTGATGGTAATATTTTCTTATTACTCTAGCAGCGTTCTGTAGAGAGGCTAAGTATTCGTGGGATTCCATCTGGTTGATACTTTTCTTAAATGATATTGATTAGTTCAGTGCACTTCTAGTTTTCCTTCGACGTTTCAGTTCGGTTTACTTTTAAGGAACTATTACGAGTTGCTTTATCTCTCCGGAGTTGCTTCGTGTAGTTTAGTGATGTTTGATTTTAGCTATAACTATATAGACGCGTGAAGAATGTGCGGCGCCAACCACTGCTCCCCCCCCCCCCCGCCGGTCTCGGTGTCATCTTAAGATATTCATCTATGTTCACGTTACTTGTGCTTACAATTTATATTTGATAATTAATGTTTTTGTGTTGATTTTCGTAACCTTACGTTGGCTTTTACCTCTCACTCGTGTATTCGCTGCTCATTGATCACGTTTTCTAACGTTCTGTTGCAATGATCCCTTGCTCAAGACAGTAACTACGTCTCTCGCGATATGTCCTGTACAAAATTTTGAACTTATTTCTCTTAGAAGTATAGGTATTACAGTTATTTCTCTTATCTCCATTAATGACAGTCGTGTGACTAGCTGTCATTACAGACGGTCGTGTGACTAGCTGCCATTACATAAACTCGCTTTACTCGCAGCATTAATAAAGCTGCCGTATAGTACACCGTACAGGTGATGGGGCTCATGCTTTGAATTCTGTCAGCTTTTAAAGGAATTTCTGGCTATTTGGGTGCTATTTTAATTTTCTAATCTAAATATATGATTTTATGTACCTATTTAAATTGCTGGGCTGGTAACTATACCAAGATGTGAGTTAGTATTTGTACTGTTTGTGTTTAAGAAGCCCCCATTTGTGAGTATTTGTACTGTTTGTGTTTAAGAAGCCCCCATTTGTGCCTCTTGGTTCTAGATGAAGTTGCTAGAGTGGACTGGATAGCTTTTGGTTACCTGCTTAGCGCACCAATGCTTGTTTGTCTAACTTTTATTTACACCCTTTCTAGTTCTCAATGCTCGCGGCTTAAGTAATCTTTTTATTTGCTTGCGTAAAAAGCCCTTCCCGATGAATAAGACGAAAAATTTAGAAGTGAAGGAACCTTCGTCCACTCACCCGGCTACATTGCGAACAAGATTCTTCTAACTGTTTATAACAATTAGTGTCACCGGCATCAAGACTCGTTCCCTAGCCTCTAATTATATCTTTATCAATAGTCAGTACTCGTGCTATGGCCAAAACCAGTTTTCTTGTCGAGCGTGCCTTTAAAGCTATCGGTCCTTGTGTGCTTGACAGCGTCACCTTGCCTGGTAGTTTAATTTTGCCTCTGCTTAGTTTAGTTTTACCCTTCGTCGACTGACGGTCATTTTAATAACCAGGCCCTCAGTTGCGAATATTATTACCAACGCTTACTGTATCCTTAGACGACGGGTTAATTAAGCATGTATGATGTTCACCGAGCATGTTTTAATGCTTTATTTCTATCACTCCGACATCTCAACTCCATAATATTATATCGGAATTTTTTAATGATCATGATTGCTGCTTGTATCATCGTTTTTAGCTTGTTGAGTTGAGGTTCTTAACTTAAGTGTTGAAGATATCGTAATTTTTTTGAGGTTACGGTTTTTTTTTTTGTTCCATGTACCGAACATTAGATCTCCGGGCCTCATTGTTTGAAAGTCCAACCATGGTATTTTACCAAGTTTTCACGGCCGTAGCATATAATCTCTTGGAATATTAATCTCGTGGTATCTAATCACTCGAACGGCTTTCAATTAATGCATAAGATTTAATTATCTTCGATGAGTTCAGGTTTCCATCACGGATATTTCGTTAATCATCCGCGGCTTGTTCCTGGAAATTAATCCTAATTAAGCTTAATTTTCTTAACTAGAGGATCATCACTGCAGGTGGGTCTCGGATTTCGTCATAAGATATAAATTAACCAACAGAAGACGCGTGAAAAAATTACTTGTATGTACATAATTATGTTATTGAAGGCGGTGCGAGGAAGTGCGAGGTTGCCTGCACCCATTTGGGATGATAAGTTTAATAAAAATAATGTAAGTCGTGGGCTAAATTGCGTTACCTGCATCGCTAAGCTGCTTTCGTTTTGTTAATTTGTTCTAATGGTGCCTTCTTGTTGTGAAGTCTTGAAAGTTGTTTACCGCACTTGGGTTCTTTAATTCCTTAGGCTTGAGTTGACCCGCGCATTGGACAGCATGTATCGTGCTCCTGGCCTTCGCCTTTGTTGTTGCAATTATTAGTTTTATGTAAATAATACGATGTATGCAATATAATTTCTTTGGTTCCATATTTTATTTCATTTCCCCATTTTTTCTTTATTTGTTTTGTGTGATGTTTCCTTTGGTTGCGAAAAAAAAACGCTTTAATTACTGATTGATTTCTTTCTTGCTTGTATTTACGTGCGTGTTATGCCTTGTCATATTTTCCTCCCACATGTCCTCCACCAGCACGCCTGCTCAGTGGCCCTTGCTTATATTGCAGTACCGTACGCGCTGCATGTGAAAATTTAGAGACTCAATGAAATAACAGAAAGATGCTCGTTAATTGAAGCTACAAGTCGCTATAGACGAGGAAAACAATGTCACCACAGTTTATCTTCTGAGGTGAGCACCTCGTACACTAAACAATTGCTCTGCTTTCCGCTACAAATACTGTTTAAATTTTTTAATTACATCGATATTATTTTCTCAACCAAAAGCACGCATTAATCTCAGTATATTTTAAAATTTCAGGATGATAGTTTATCCACGAACCTTTTCGTCATTGAATTGTAAAATTAGAACTCACGTTCTTCTTATTCTTATTGAAGAACTACCTATAAATTTGTTATGGATATGATGAATTGTTAATTACATGTAGGTCTGAGTACGGTACGAGATCAGGCGGTCACTGGCTGTATAGCCGCTAGCCGCCGGTCTAGATCGAAGGGTCTCGGGCTGTCTAGCTGTAGGGCTTAGCGTCTCGCGGTTGTAGCGGTTTTCTCTGACAATAGTAGCGATGAAGGGCGCGTTGTGATGACTGGGGGCGGAGAGTGAGCCTCTCTTATAGGCTGTTTGTGTCTGGTGGCTTGGGGCCGTACTATCAAAAAAATATTTAAGACTTCGTAACACGGCCAATCACAGACGTGAAATCGGCCACCACGTGAACTTAGGTCTCTGTGTGTACTTTGAGTGGTGAGTTCTGACGGTACGGCCCTAATTTATATATTGTAACAGGTTAGGAAGCACGTTTTTTAGCAGTATCCTTGTATTCTTCGTGAGACGTCATCGTTTTAAGCAGTGTATAGTCGTGATGTGCTTTCGTCGGGTGTTTAGAAATTACGTCCATCAACGAGCGCTGTTGTTGTTCGTTAATTTAATTCTGTAATCACAATCAAGTTAATCCACGCGGAACACTATAGGTTGGATTGCCTGTTAGGCGTATAGTAAATTAGTACGTAAGAAGGGCAAATTATTGAGAACACGTAGCACCCACAACGAATATTTAACACGCGTAATTTCAATAGGCGTTCTTAACTTCTTATGCTGCGAGTGGATCCTTTATTGGTAGTGCATTAGGAAGCACGCGCCGTGAACCTCTTTCTATGCTTGCTCTTTAGTACGAAGACAAAGGTGTGATGTTGGTGATGGCATGATGAAGTTAGTGATGTCATGGTGGTTGTTCAGGGCGCTAGTGTTGTCACGGTACACTAACAGAACTGGCTCAAGGTGAAGTTTTACAAAGCCACGCCGGAGCTTTTGAACGAAGGTAAAATGAAATTCTTCAGACTCTCGTTCATTTTCCAGAAAATTACAAATTAAATCCAGAACAAATCTAAAAGCCAGACTGGCCTGAAAGGTGCAGGTGTTGCTAAGGATAGGTGTTATTGGCTCATATTGTCGAGAGCCTAATTGTTAATTGCGCAGCAAAGCAAGCACAGATCTTGAACAGCATCAGGGCCGTAGATTAAATTGGAAGCTCCATTCATTCGAAAAAAAATCGTCTAGACTTGTAATATTATTAATGCACGAGGTGCACACAAATTACTTTTCGGTAAGACTAAATATAGTTAGAGACGATTTACTAGTCGCTACACTACCTAATATCTCGCCTAAACTCGCTATTGATCTCATGATCCACGACACGCTAATTGCGGTCTAGAACCGAACCGCAAAGCGGTCTCATGCGGACGCTAAATTTGTTGCATTAAATTGGGTGTGATTAGTAAGAAATGGACATGCGGACCTTGACCTACAAAAATTATTCTTAAACTGTACCTTTCAGAACTTAAGCTGCCGATCGCTTACCTCGACTGACAACGGTCTAAGGCTCTAAGCCTACCCGTAGAAATCTTGTCAGCATTTGCGGAACAAAAGAAAAGTGAAAATTTTCAGTCCGCTCGGTTTAAGTAGATAATTGCTTCTATAGCTGAAATAGGGCTGTGATGCAGCTCCGCGGATGCTCCTATAGTTTTTCTTTTAAACAAGAACTGTATTTGTCTCCGCGTTATTTCTTCGACTTCATGTCGTTCTCTGACATAGTGATGGGGTTTACGTGAAGGTTAGGTAACAATGAAACGTTGCTGGTGTTGTTGATAGATAGCTTTGTAACCCTCTGTGCCTCGTACGTGTGTTCGCATGCACAATTGATGCTAAGTAAACCCTGCTTTTATTATTTATCTGCTATAGAAATCTCCATCCGTTAGTAGTGTTGCGTTCACTTAAAGTTGAAGTACGGGGTTTTCTTCTATATCCGTCAAAGATACATAAAGTAGAACTAGATCGATAATCATGTATTTGCCTCATGCCATTCGGCTTAAGTTCCTTGCAGTGACTAGTATTTATAAGAGGCTCTTGACGCCAGTCTGATTATTATAGGTAGTTGGTCCCTTGTTGGCTAAGCCTGGCCATAGCTTAGCTTCAGTGGTGGCATGACTCCGTAACTCGCACGAGCTTCTGATGAAAGTTTAGCCGTCTCAACGGCATTGTGTTAAATTTTACTATAGTTGGTAGTGAGTAAAGAATTGTGATCAGGAATATCGAAGAACTGGAAATTCTTGGTGAATGTGTAATTATTTGTAAAGAAGCTGCTCCAGCTTTTTCTGTTCGAATAGATGTATTGTAACGTAGACTAGATATTCAATAATCTATGTACAATTCACCCATTTCGCTACTAATAAAGTATTTTCGTACCATATATTACGTACCGTAGTTCTACTATCTACCACTTGAACAATAGCAGTACGAAGCTTGATCGTGGCTAGAAAATAATCGTAGACTTTTCAGTGTTGTTGCTCAGCGTCGTCCCGCGTGACCTTATAATGGCTTTCTAACCTACCCCTCACTCAAGAACTTGAACATGAAATGCCTTTAAATTGTTCTACTTGTAATGGATAGATTTCTAACATCTAAAAAAGGTTTTCTTGTAGGACATCTCGTAGTTTTTGCATAATGTACGTAATGTCTGAATTCCAATTTCATCGTCACATAGTGTATGAATCTTCAATGTCGCAGCACAAGAGTACTATTCACATTGGTTGTGTGAAAAAAAATCAAGGTTTTATTGCTAATCCTACTTAATAACTTGAGATTCTTCGATGCCCTGGCCAGTCTTGCGGTTGTTTTTACCTGAATATTAATAACTTTTTCATGACACATAGTGTTTTAAAAACGTCACTTGACTACCAGTAAGACTTTTCAGCTCCCCACGCACCGCCATATTGTATCTTTGAACCTCACGGGCGTTTTAGTCATCGAGTTAGCCTGTCCACCTCTGTACTCGCGCTTGGTGGCATTTTTCAGCTCGCTGATTGTGAGGAACTGACTTACGAGCTCTAGCCAATATCCTGCACTTTCTTCGAGCATTCTTCAAGTCGTGTTGTGATACTATATTTTCATTTAGAATTTATCGTCATGCTCGTCCGCACGTCGCGATTAGCGCCTCTATCGACTGCAAGAGACTGAACACGGACGATCTCTAGCTACATTTTCTCACGTGCAATTCTGAATTGTGTTAAAACAATAAATTTAAACCCATGATTTCTTATGCTCTTTTAATGTGCACTGAAAGTGGGTACGGTAATACTTTAGATTAAGTGCATCCAAGAAAAAGTTTTTTTTTTAATTATACGTTTTTTGGGGTGTAGATAAAGAATCTGAAATCCGTTTTTATGGTCGGCATCGGAAAACCGATTTTTTATTTTTTATATATTTCTATAGAAAACGATCGATCTGGGAATGAACCTAACCTAACCTAACGTAAACTCGCTTTATAACAGGAAGGTGCGTTTAAACGCGTTCTATTTGATGATATATTTGTTTGTTCTCTACGCCTCACCTAGCCCTGGAAGATAAAATGCAAGTTGAATCGTGGACGTAAAACCCGTGGATTTATAGCGTTTTTAACTTAGCCTCAGTGACCCATATACTCTTGTGGTTGTTTCTTAAATATCTATGCGAAATATTTGCCGACCGCCAAAAGCGGTTTTCAGATTCTTTATCTACACCCCAAAAAAAACATATAATAAAAAATAAAAACACAATTTTTTGGATGCACTTAATCTAAAGTAATACCTGAAAGTGTGGCACGCAATTATGTAATGAATTCGACATTTCATTATAAATTTTTAATCGAATTTTATTTTGATGGGTGAAATTCGAGTGCGATGCGAGGCTTGACCGGGGACGATCAGTAATGACAACACACGTCAACGGTGGGCCGTTTTCAATTCAACAGGCGATAGGTAAAAGTCAGATTGATCTTGCTCGGTTTTCTAACCACCAAAGCTCCTTTTCCATCAACAACGATCATTTTTTATCATAAAATATGCTCTTGTAATTAGATGTGGGAAGTAATTAAAGGTCGTTTGGGTTGGCTGTTCCTAAATTACTCACTTATTCAATTTGGTTTTCTGAATAGGGGCAAAGATAAAAAAGAAATAAATTGTTATCGCTCACTAACTTTCTCCTGCTTAGACGAATTTTGACGCTTGGCTGTAGGTCAGTTTGCGGTATAACTGTTCTTTTATTACTATCATTGTAAGTTATTGATCAAGTTGTATAATTTCGTCATATGCCACGAGCGAGGGCCTGCGTGTGGGACGATATTTTCGCCTTTATTAAACAAACGTATCTACAATGCTTGATAGTAGCATCGATTTTGAGATTGTAAAGTTGTTCTTGGTTTTTGTTTCGAGTTCCTAACACATTTTACTTTCCTAGAGATTAATGTTATCAGACAAGAATAAAAATAAGCAATGTCGTTGGCTTCATCTTCATTCCAGAAAACCCTACATATATTTATATATTT